CTTTTCAATTAAGTGTTAACTGCTTCACTATTTGTTTAACTTGTTAATTAATTGTTTAAACTTGCACCAATTGTGTGTGCTGAGTAACATACAGGCTAGTCATACACATGAGTTACACACCCACAAAACCTCCCTAATAACTGAATCCAATCAGCCAAAGAGCATCTCAAACTCAAACGCACACCTCCAGATGGTAGAGCGTGTTCTGCCCCACATGCCATATTCACTTAGCAGAATCAAAGGAAGGTGCAGACCTGACTTAGTGTAGCCCGTGTGTCTAATGGGAAGTGACATAATGAGACGCATGTGGCCATGCAGAGTGAAGCAAAGGGGGAGAGAACAGAGGCTGAGATGGGGAAGGAGGATGGCACAGTGAAAGGATTCAACCTTTCAAACCTCAGTTCCCAGGGGTTCCAAAGACAGAAGGAATCTGTGTAACTGATTTCAGACTCCTAATACCACTAAGCCTGTAACACTCATGCCTAGTACCCACATTTGATCTCAGTTAACCCACAACCAAACTGTACTACACGCTTGACACTTGTTACATGAATCACTGGGTGTATGACTAAACAGTTTATTGTGCTCCATGTACAGTGAACATGATCAAAACCATTGCAAGACTTATGTTTCAATTTTCTCACACGTGCACATTCTCATCCGGAGTCATGTTTCAATTCAGAATAAGGAAAGATGAAATAGAACATTAATAATGAATGATCTTCGTCATAGCATTAAAGTGACAGCACGGTGGCCTCAGATAGATTAGTTCTTGTCTTCTATGAGTGTGAATCTGTTCTACAACTAAAAAAAATTAAGTTTCAGCACATTTTGGAGTTCATAACTAGCCAAAGAGAGCATTTTTTTTGTTAATACACTGTCTGTCACCATCAAAGTCGAGCACTGAACAACTTTTAGCAGCAAGCCAGCCAGTCTGACCAGGTGCTGCAGAGAAGCTTTTCTTCACAGAGACTAAGTAACAAGCAGTAGGGAACACCGACTCCACTGCCAACTTATAATTTCATTTCATAATTCTCAAACAGGCAGTAGACTGATATGTATCCAAATTGTTGCAGCTGATGCTTCGAAAAGCTGCCCGCTCCCACATTATGTTTCTCTTCTTGATCAGGCTGTGACCTTCACTTCATTCATTTCATTATGTATAAGGAAAGCATACAATAATCAGCATTTCTGGAGAACTGCCAGTCTTAACCAGCCAGAATATTTTCACATGCATCCCTTCTACAACCAATGTTCATCAAGACCAGTTAGCTTAACTACCAGTTACATTTCATGTTCAAACAAATTACCTAATGGTTTGGGACATGTTTCATGGGCAAAAAGGCCTAAAGCAACTGAATCAAGTCCTTGAGAATTGATTTAGTTATTGATGCCAGTAGAGCAGAGCCTAGCCTGTATGTTACGTCATGATTTCTGCTCTCCATACGCTCCATTAAAGTCCCATTTTGGCCTGGGGTAAATCCCAAATCCCTTAAAGGTGCTAGGAAATGATGCAAGAAAAATATTTGAGGAAAGAGGTACTGAAGCAACACATTTTCGGAGACATAAGACGTCCACAGCTCTCTCACGCACACTCTGTCCTGTGGATGTATACTTTTAAATCCCTGGAAATGTTTGAAATGTTTTGTTTTCTAGTGTCTTTTATTTCCATGTCTTTCTCTTTAAAACCAAACTGACAGATTACATTTTCTGTGGTTCTCTGTTAGATCTGTCCCAAACATCCCAAACCCAGTCAGCCAGAAAAACTGAACTTATAAATACACTTCTACTGCCATTTAAAGCCGAGCAAGTACTGCTCAGCAGGTACACATAGATGTTAATGCAACACTAATAAGTGGAGCAGCTGGCGCTTAATGATAACCCTGCCTGGATATGATATAGCTTATTAGATCGTGTCTGCAGTTAACCCATAATCAGAAAGACCTTCCAGTTGCTCTGCAAATGTCTGTGGTGTTTTCTAGCATGTAAATCTCAACAATGACGAGACTGCTAATGCTGCCTTCGATAGCACAACGCTTTGAACTCACATCTCCAGGGAACGCAGGCTGAAAAAAAATAAAAAAATAAAAGCTTCTATTTGAGAATATAAAGTACAGTACTGCTTAGAATATAATAATTATTAGGCAGACTTTTGTCACATATTCTGATTTTATTATAGTATCTTTAATTCTCATTCATCCTGATGTACAGTATGTAAAAATAAAACTGTCAACCACATACGTGCTTCTATTTAGATTTTCACCGGGTGTGTTTCTCTTTCTTATGTAGCCTTGACAAAATGGTAGCACCGGCCTGTTGGTTGAAAAAACATAATTCACGGTCAATTCAATAATCACTATACCAAGAGATGGCCAAGAAACTCAACTCCATATGCTGCACTTTAATCTTGTGTTCACAAAACCATAATTAGGTTTGTGGGCCTCTGGCCCATGCCTGCTAACACTGGACACAGAAAGAAACGGGCTGCCCTTCATTTCCCTCCTTCCTCTCCTCTCCTCCTCCTGCTTTGAGGAGTCAAATTGGTTCCAGATGCATTCTCTCACTGCTAGCCTCAATAACCAAATCGCAACATGAAAGAAATTTTGCAACAACTTTATAGCAAAAAAGGTTGGAATTTCTACAAATAAATAAATAATCAAATAAGTGGGAGAAATCTGGCCAAGATGCCACAATCTTCCTGAGGGCAAAATCAGCTAATCCCTTTTTCATATGGAGCCATTTATCACACCTACTCTTTTCTGAGATTCTACTACTGTCTCAAGCCTTTGGGAGACATGAGGATCAAATGAGCATCTAAGGTCACGTTGAAACTTCACTCTATGCAAAAAATACAACCACTCTCATTCATCTGAATGGGGAAAGTGCAGCATCAGAGGGGGCTCTGCCACCATAGTGCGGGGTCATGTGTGAAGAAAAGTTGGACCTGGTTCAACTTTTTCTACCATGCAATGTGAGGTTGGTCAATCACTACGTGTAAACGCACATTCCTGGTGGATTACTGTGTGACATAAACGCTGTAAATGAAACAGATGTAGCTGGAATCACTTTGAAAAGCTGTATAATCTGGACTGTGAGTACTACAAACCACTGTGGTGTGTATTGTGTCTAATAAGCTTTAAATACATAAATCCACTTCTTCGACCTGACTTCCTGGCTCACATTTCATTGTCTTAGCGGTACAAGCAACACCCCCACCACCAACATACAACCCCTGCATGGGGAAAATGTCTGTAGGACTTCGGCTTAAGAGCTGCGTTTCTTTCATGTTCCAGGCAGATGTATGTAGTAATATTCAGCCTGAGCAAATCCACATCCTGCACCCATGTCGTGGACTAAACATCAAAGACCAACCTAGGAGCATGTTAGACCAATTTATGACCATGCCCATGGAGCCCTGTTAGATAAAACACTCACTAAGTTGAGGCTAAGATACACACTTAGCAAAATAATACTGAGTGACAACAGCTGAAGGTCTGTGGACAAGATGCCTTGCAAAATGGCTTAAAAATGTAGCAATAAAGTACAAAGTACTAGCTGCATGTTGACTCAGCCTATTAACAACTGAAGGCAAATTCAAGTGTGGTTGTTATACAGCACCAACACACACCTCTGTGTTTGTCTAACTGCCTTAACAAGTCCCCGTGAATTCATTAGCACCCTGAAAAGCTAATACACTTCATTCACACGTTTCTTATATGTGCTTCTTTCTTGTAGAGACCAGACTGCATTAAAAACAGCAGGCAGAATTTTATCTTAGTTTCCTTTCTTTATCAAAAGCAATGGAACATGTAAAAAAATCTACAAATCGATATCCGGTTTAAATTAATATAACCTTATGCTCTAAGCTTGCCTGTGTTTACTGACATGTATTGAGGAGAGACGGAACTGTATGGAAATGATGCAAAAGGAGTTATTTTAAGGAAGTAAGTGTGTCTTGAGGCTATGGGATGGATGCCGAATTGAAGAATGGTTCCTAGTGATTCATAAAATATTTAAAGAGTTATTCGTGGAAGCTTTTTTCTTTGGCCAATAAACCAATGAGGCGTAAAAGTGCTAAAGTGCCCATGACGTTTGCTATAGCTCGGTAAAACGGTCCGTTTTTCACTTTTTCCCGATCCGTTATGTCAGTCCAGTTTCCAACCTATCCCCGACTATTTCTCAGAGAAGCAACCGAACAAATCTTTGAAAGCTGTTACCGCCTACTAGCAAATACTGAAACAAGCTCTCCTCAGAAATAGGCTAGGCTTTTATTAACTACGCCATAGCTGCCCTTAAAACTTACAAGGCTCATCCAAAAGATTTTCTTTTCTCAGAAAACGCTGCCCAGGATCCTAACCCCATTTGTTGCTTTCTGCGAGACGGATGCGTCACGCAAACACTTATATAATTATTATCGCCTCTGGTTTTCAGCAAATGTATACCAGTGAAAACCTTGTAGTGGATGTCACTCTTCAATTCGGCGTACAATAAATTCACAAAGCGTGAAACCCCCCCGAGTTTTACAAATGTTTCCCCGTTATTCCCAGTCATTTTGCACTTAAACACTGCCTGGTGGGTGGTAGCTAGCGCTGTGAACTAGTTAAAACGTATAGGTTTAATTGAAAAAAAACGCCGTCTGCTGGACTATTGCCCTGCCCGAATAGGCCAGTGGACTTTTATTGTTCAGAATAAGTCTTAATAACTCGTGTGCAAGGTGTCAAGTTCAATAATACGCAGTGACAACTCACGTTGCACGTCTTTTGAATGAAGTTTGGTGTGACATTCTCAGTAACTAAGAGTTGAATCTATCGGCCCAACAGGATACTAGATGTCACCGGGTTAACAAGTCAATCACGACCTGCAGCGTACAAAAGTTCAGCTGGATTTATAATTCAGTTGTACACTGTTTGTCATTGTTCACCAAGTTTATCAAAACAGAGGGCAACACGGACATATAGGCTAAGACGTACAGTTATGACGATGAAACACAAAACACTCACCCTGAGCTCGCAGTGGCTGGCAGGAAAAGTTTAAGGCGAAGAGGAAACTGATTATCTGGCAGCACACACGCATCTTATTGAAATCCTAAAGTGCATCGTGGACAAGAAGACATAGAAAATAGTAGTGCTGTGACGCGCTCCATGGATCCCCCGTTCTCTCTCTCTCCACAGCCCCCGGTGTCTGGCTCTGGACCACAGAGGACATGCGCAGAACGGGGAGCGGCCCCGTTAACGGTGACAGCTTGTTTCAAAAAAACTAACTCAGTGCAGTTGTGAGTCACAGTCACTGCAGCCATTTAACCGGTTTACTGCTATTCTCTATGGTTGGACTTCTAGGTCTACATTTTAGTGCGTCTATTAAAAATATGATAGAAACAGGAACATGGTTTTAAAAACTTTTTTCTTATAGAAATACTGAGGTCATGAGTCACAGAAACCCTTCCCCAGGAAAATATGACCACACACCAAAAGTAAAGTTTTTAACCATTGTGTCAACTGCTCAGTTATATTTTCTATATTTTCAGTTATATTGTTTTATATTTGCCATATTCTCCATATTCTGAAAACTATGTATCATCAAAACATCAACTTTTCATAAGATAAAAGCTGAGAATTTAACACGGCTTGTGATTTACAGTGTAGGTTTACTGTGTGAATCCAGTAATCCTGACTGCACTTACAGTAATGTGGGTATTATGGAAGAAAACAAGCTGTCTATATGCATATGAATATATGTAGGACTATGCAAATTGCAGGCTTTATTAACGTATTAAGTGCTACAAAAAATTCAATTGGAGACCAAATGAATCCTGTATGTATTTATTTACTGACATAAAATAAGCCAAAAGAGTACACAAATACCAGAATCCTCCAGTTTATCCATTAGGGTAGAATGCAATCTCACACATGTTGCTAAACACCCCAATCACCCCAGAGCACACAACCTCAATATTCACACTCTGAGTGGCTCGGCTCCAAACTGCTGTAAAGGAGCAACCGGGGCCTGTCTTGGTGGCCTTGTTGGATCAGCTGGCACAGTTACTTAACATGCAGACAGGTGACAAATTCAAGAACAGACCTGTATAAATGAGTGGTCTCTTCCAGGATGGCAGTGCTCCCATCCATAGGTCACGAGAGGTCACTGATAGGTATGATGAAGATGAAAACGTTTGTGAATCATGGGCTATAGCCTTCACAGTCACTAGGACTGTGCAAATTGCAGGCTTTATTAACATATTAAGTGCTACAAAAAATTCAATTGGAGATCATATGAATCCTGTATGTATTTATTTATGGACATAAAATAAGCCAAAAGAGTACAAAAATACCAGAATCCTCCAGTTTATCCATTAGGGTAGAATGCAATCTCACACATGTTGCTAAACACCCCAATCACCCCAGAGCACACAACCTCAATATTCACACTCTGAGTGGCTCGGCTCCAAACTGCTGTAAAGGAGCAACCGGGGCCTGTCTTGGTGGCCTTGTTGGATCAGCTGGCACAGTTACTTAACATGCAGACAGGTGACAAATTCAAGAACAGACCTGTATAAATGAGTGGTCTCTTCCAGGATGGCAGTGCTCCCATCCATAGGTCACGAGAGGTCACTGATAGGTATGATGAAGATGAAAACGTTTGTGAATCATGGGCTATAGCCTTCACAGTCACCAGATCTGAACCCATTTGAACACCTATGGGAGGTTTTGGAGCAACGTGTTGGACAGCATCACCACCACCATCATCAAAACACTAAATGAGAGAGTATGTTTTGGAAGGATGATCATCCCTCTGTAGAGTTCAATGCCAAGGTGCACTGAAGACAATAATGACACCTTTTGTTGGTTTGTCCTTTCATCTGTCACTCATCTACATAATAGTATTGCAAGTTTGAATCAAAACCTGGAACATTGTTTTCAATTCATTTGTATTCACTCTTAGTAATCTTTCATTCACTCACACTAGATTTGCACTCTTGTTGAAATGGATCTAAAATATGCTGAGTTACATACACATTACAGGCATTAATGTTCTAATTTATTTTAGTTGATTTTCTGGATTTGTTTTGATGGTTCACATTCATCAGTTTAAATGACATGTAGCTGACTCCAGTGTGAACACTGTTGAGCTTCTAATGTCAATGAGCTGTAGTGTCACCATTTAATAAACCAACCCAGTCTCCTGAAATGTAATTAATACTAATTGTACTGGCAATGCATTTTTGGAAATTTTTAAATGAACAGATAGGCAAATTTATTAAATGATGATCTATATACAGTCTTATGCAAAAGTTTAGGCACCCCTTGATAAATAACAGATTTTGGTGATTTTTTATTTGAACAGATGTTAACACAGTTTCTCTTGGAAATGGAAAAAATGCACAATATTTTCTGCAAACAGTGATGCATAGTTACTTCTTATGCCATAAATTGAACAAAAATAAAAAATAAAAACATGATTATGGCATGGTGCAAAAGTTTGGGCACCCTAAGAGTTCCAGAGTCTCAAAGTCTCTCACAAGGTATCAGACCTTAATCAGCTCGTTAGATCTGATGCACAGCAACAGCTGTCATTGGTAAATGCCAATTTCAAAGCTGTACAAATACTTTGACTCTTCAAACCTTGTGCACACACTTGTGGACACCCAGCAACCATGGGTTCCTCTAAGCAGCTGTGTAAGACCCTGAAAATGAAAGTTATTGACGCCCACAATGCAGGAGAAGGCTACAAGAAGATAGCAAAGCGTTGTCAGCTTGCAGTTTCCACAGTAAGAAATGTAATTAAGAGATGGCAGATCAGGGGAACTGTGGAGGTCAAGATGAGATCTGGAAGACCAAGAAAACTCTCGGACAGAACTGCTCGTATGCTGGTCAGAAAGACAAATCAAAACCCCCATTTGACTGCAAAAAACCTGCAGGAAGATTTAGCAGACTCAGGAGTGGTGGTGCACCGTTCCACTGTGCAGCGATGCTTGCACAGACAAGGCCTTCATGGAAGAGTCAGCAGAAGAAAACCTTATCTGCGTCCCCATCATAAAATCCAACGTCTGAAGTATGCAACAGGACATCTACAGAAGCCCGATGCGTTTTGGAAACAAGTGCTGTGGACTGATGAAGTTAAAATAGAACTCTTTGGACACAATCAGCAAAGGCATGTTTGGAGAAAAAAAGGAGCAGCATTTCATGAAAAGAACACCTTGCCAACTATTAAGCATGGGGGTGGATCTATCATGCTCTGGGGTTGTGTTGCAGCCAGTGGCACAGGAAACATTGCACGGGTGGAGGGAAGAATGGATTCCACTAAATACCAGCAAATTCTGGAAGCAAACATCACACCATCTGTAAAAAAGCTGAAGCTGAAAAGAGGATGGCTTCTACAACAGGACAATGATCCTAAACATACCTCGAAATCCACTATGGAATACCTCAAGAGACGCAGGCTGAAGGTTTTGGAATGGCCATCACAGTCCCCTGATTTAAACATCATTGAAAATTTGTGGGTAGATCTTAAAAGAGCTGTGCATGCAAGACGACCAAAGAATATTACAGAACTAGAAGCCTTTTGCAAGGAAGAATGGGAGAAGATCCCAAGTACAAGAATTGAAAGACTTTTAGCTGGCTATGAAAAGCGTTTGCAAGCTGTGATATCTGCCAGAGGAGGTGTTACTAAGTACTGATTGTGTAGGGTGCCCAAACTTTTGCACCATGCCATAATAATGTTTTTATTTTTTATTTTTGTTCAATTTATGGCATAAGAAGTAACTATGCATCACTGTTTGCAGAAAATATTGTGCATTTTTTCCATTTCCAAGAGAAACTGTGTTAACATCTGTTCAAATAAAAAATCACCAAAATCTGTTATTTATCAAGGGGTGCCTAAACTTTTGCATAAGACTGTATCTATCATTCACTAAAACAATGAATGTTATGATGATTATGTTTCCAAAACTCAAAGCATTTTGGTTAGAAAAAAGATCAGACAAAAACCACCATTTGTTGCCAACCTCAACCAAAGTGGCTATTTAACCATAGCCAGTACGCCGATTACAAAAGCTGCCGTCCAGTGTTAAAGTTATACAAGAATGTAGCACTTACTGGACTGGAGGCATGTTACCAGAGAACATAATCTGTGCAGAAACTACATTTCCTTCTAAATGTATCTGACTATAATACAGTACATGTTTAATATTTTTGCCTTTAATAATATTATTACATCAGTTTGGCAAAGTTCAGCACAAAAACCATAACTATTCAGGTAAAACAGATACTGATTGTTCGATATATGCATACAGCGATAAGAAGCTTTGCTTTCTGGGGGGGCTTCCAGTCTGTTCCCTCATTGTCCCTCTTAATACCCGTATCAACAGGACCAGGCAGCGTTTTGTGCCACACAGCCGCCAAACAGCAGGGAAATCTCTGTCCAGGGAAACACCCTCTTTTGTGATGGGTCAAAGGTTGTAAAGGAGACGGATGTCAGGGGCTGGAGTCAGCACTTTGGCCCCATGTGGCCACGCCATGCTGTCGATGGACATGAATAGCGAGGGGCCACAGAGACAGTGCCCACTGGCAGCAGAGAGGAGTGAAAGGAATCATGTATCTATACAGATGGACTGAGGTCCTTTGGGATAGACAGGCCTTTGAGTTAAAGCCATCTGTGTACTACAGCAAACTATTAACTGTAATTTCATATTTAATAAGTTAAAAAATGTATTTAAAATAAAAGAAAGGTAAATTTGGCCTAAATTGATATTTGACAACAGGTGACTCATAATAATACAATGGAAGTTACAGTACAGTAGAAAATGAAACAGGTTATGGAAATAGATTATATGGGTACTGAGCATACACTGTAATACCACATTAGGGTGTAAAGTAGTTTATTATTGTAGCCAATGGAATAATATCATTGTTAATTACTCTTTTTTTGATTAGGCTATATATAATGCGATGATCAGCGTTTGTAAATAGTCATTGTTTATCAGTGAAAAACAATGTTTTTAGTAAATGGAAGTAAACATTTAAATACTTGTATCACAGTCTCACTCTTGGTCCTGTCTGTGTGCTGTGTTTTCATATTAGACTCAGCCCCCTTCCCCTTTCCAAAAACAGACTTCAAATATGTATGAAACACACAAGTGTCAGCTGTGTAGACAGCTGAAGTGATTATAATTGAAACATGGTCTGAAATGCATGAAGTGTTGAAGCGTTTTCCAAAGACACAGCTAATTTCATCTTGGTCATTCATTTGATTTGTTGTGGAACAAGGCCACGTTTGTCCACGACCTGACCCGTTTTTTGTAAATTGGCATAGTGAAGATTGTGGATAAGTGTGGCTCACCCCCACTGCCTTCACAACATCAATAAGGAGGGTCGTATTTGTCACATTATGTAACTTTTCAAACCTGTCAGTCTGACAGTAAAGTCAACTTCATGCAATGATTTGGCAGCTGTGCAGAGGCAAGGAAAACGAGGGACCATGTCGTCTGACTGTCCTGCCACCACAGTCCAGATGAGGGGAGTTGATTCAAAATCTTGATATGCTGAGGAGACTGTGTTTACATGTCAACATTTAGTATTTCTCACTGATGGGAAAAACCACTAGAATCGGAACATGCATGCACAGACACACACATCTGTCCACAGAAGCTGCTGACTGACCATTAGGACCAATTTTATTCTGGAGAATAAAGTGCTTGTTGA